CAAGCCTCTCCTCAGCGTGCCTGGCAAGGCGATGTTGAATAATCCTTGCCAGGACCTTTCCCGGTACACTGAGGAGTGAGATGCCCCTGTAGTTGTTACAGTCTGTACGGTCCCCCTTCTTAAAGAGGGGGACCACCAGGGCATCCTTCCAATCCTGCGGAACCCGTCCAGTGGTCCAGACTGTTGTTATAATGTCATATAGGGCAGTCTGTGCACAAACGCTAACCTCCCTCAGCATGTCGCTTGGGAGATCATCTCTGCCCGCTGTCTTTCCTGGTCTCAGACTCCGGATTGCCTTCAGTACTTCCTCAACAGATGGCACTTCAGCCAGCCACTCACAGGGGGTGACTTCTTCCAATATTTGAGGCACCGCAGTCTCAGCAGGGTCATCCTCAGCAGGGTCATCCTTACTTTGTGCCACGATGTTTTCCTGGCTGAGGGATTTTCCCTCCCCCAAGACCTCACAGAAATGCTCAGCAAATCTGCAAACCTGTTCCTGGGGGTCGGAGATTGGATAACCATTTTTTCCCCTAATGATGGTAATAAGTGTGGTGCTGCAGGTTACTTTTTTGATGGAGTTAAATAGAGATTTGTGATCGTGTGCCACTGAGGCAGACTCCATCTCCTCAGCAACCCGCGACCACCACCCATCCTTGCAGCGCCTCACGGCTCTCCGAACCTCCGAGCGAAGGCTGCGGTAAGCCTCCTCATTCTCTGACGTGGGATTCTGTAGCCGATGACAGTGGGCCTGTCGCTTTTTCTCAACTATCCTGAATACCTCCTCTGTCAGCCAGGGTCTCTGGGGAGGTCTGGACCGCGTACCCAAAGCAGCCATTGCAGCTGCATGAGTCACAGTCCTAAACCTCGCCCATTTACCCTCGACATCAGGAGGAGTGGGGGACGATGCCAACCCCAGCCGCAGGCGATGATGAAATTCTCCCTTGCAACTTTCATCAGATAACTGTGACCAGGCCACTTTTGGTTGGAATAGGGTCCTGGGTGTACACCCACCACCGGAGCGGAAGAATGGCAGGCGCATCTTACAGATGACAAGTCGATGGTCAGAGGGCAGATCAGCTCCACGGTAGGTCCTGGTGTCAAGGACATGGGCTCGCATCCGCTGGTCCGTCACTATGTAGTCCAGCAGATGTTCTTACTTGGACCCGGCATGCATCCATGATGTTGTGTGGATGCGCCGATGCCGGAACAGCGTGTTGGTAATTACAAGCCCATGGGCTGCACAAAAATCTAGCAGCCTCCTACCATTGTTATTGAGCTGATCCGGCCCATGCCCTCCAATCACTCCAGACCAGGTGCCAGCATCATGACCAACTCGGGCATTGAAGTCACCCAACAAGATGACTCTATCCCGAGGGGCCACTTCAGCCAGCACCTGTGACAGGAGGTCATAGAAGGCATCTGACTCATCGGCTTTGCCTGCATCCCTCCACGGATGTTTGTCTTCGGTGGGGGCATAAGTAACCACGACCACCAATCCTCGCCTCCGATTGATGGGAAGGCGAGCCCAAAGTAGCCTGGGGCTTACAGCTTCCCACACCTCACCGCCACGCTCCCACGCTCCTTTCATTCTTTTGTTCAAAAGAAGAGCCACACCCTGTTGTTTGGCAATCTGCTGCCCCGAGTAGAGGACTGTCCACCCCTCATGGTGGCAGGAGGCAGAACCGGTACACCGGACCTCCTGAATGCCACAGAGATCCAGGCGGTACCGGTCCAGCTCCCGACAGAGGAGTGGCAGCCTCTCCTCCGCAGTGAGCGTGCGAACATTCCACGTGGCCAAACGAAGTGGCTTTTCGTTGTTTCTGGAGGAGCCCCGAGGGTAGAGATTTAATCTCCTGGCCCCGCCAATTGGGGTTTGGCCAGGAGACGTCATAGAAGCCTGTCCCCCCAGGGCCTCCGGCACAAGCTTATTAGTTACATAATTTAAGTCGTAGTTTCGTGGTAATTTTTTGAAGGTGGAGGGGTTACCAGCACCTCGCACCCGTCCAGAGCCCCCGTTTAGCCCCTGTGGTGGTCACAGACGCCATGAGGGGAGGAGCCAATCGGAATTGGCCCTCTCCCCACAGCACTGTCCACGACAGAGTTGCCGTCCGGCACCGCGAGGAGGGAGGGGGTTGTTTTGCCGGACCTACACACACTACCGCCAACCGCCATTCGCCACTAAGTGGCGGTGACGTCACCACGACGCTTGTGCCAGGCTATGTGCACCCTGAGGCTACGTGAAGTGTCGAACGCCCGCTGGCAGGAGGTCACGGGGCAGACCCAGGTGCCACGGGTCGACTGACTGAGATGACTGGCTGATGCACCACCTGTGCCCCCTACTGTGCCAACCTGCTGTGTTTTAGCCACCCGGCGCTCCGCTCGTTGTTCTGAGCGTCGCTCCTCCGCCCTCCGTTGTTGTTGGAGGGCGACTACCTCCAACTGCCCAGTAGCGTCCTTCACGAGCCTCCTCCACAAAGGTCAATCTTGACACCGCTTGTACCAGTCATCGGCAAGTCCACTCAGCTCCACGTCCTCCTGTACCACATCACTCCATCTCTTCTCTAGCCCGTGCTGCGTCCGCTTAGCCCCCTCAATCCGGCCGAACAAAAGCTGTTTCGGCATGCGGTGGCTGGGCATGCGGGCTACATGACCCAGCCATCGCAGCCTTCCCTGCCGGAGGAGCTCACCGATGGGACCTTGCCCAGATCTTTCAAGGATTTGTGAGCTCCTCACACAATCCAGTCTGGTTAAACCCAGGATGGATCCTAGGCAGGCCAGCCTAAATGTTTCTAACTGGCGAAGATGTTCCATTAGGGGGGTCCACGTTTCACAAGCGTAGAGAAGGGAGAGAATGACCGTGGCCGAGAAGACCTGAAGCTTAGTGCGGAGCGACAGACCAGGTAGCTTCCACACAGCGTTATGCAACCGATGAAAAGATATTGCCGCTCGACTGATTCGGAGTGAGACCTCTGCTGTTAAACTGGAGCCAGTCATAAGCACACTGCCCAGGTATGGGAAACTCTCCACTCTCTCCACAACTGCCCCATCACCGATTGGGAGTTGTGGGGGTGGAGTGTTCGATGGTACAAAAATACCCAGGCAGGTGCTTAGTTTTGGTGGGGCTGATGGTAAGGCCCCACCTTTTAGTGGCACACTCCAGTCTCAGCAGCAGCGTCTCCAACTCCTCCCCTGAATGAGCAGCTATTACCAAATCATCAGTATACACACTACAGACACCACTACACACACACTACAGACACACACACTACACAGACACCCACACGACACACACACCACACACACTACAGACACCCCCACTACACACACTACAGACACACCACACACACTACACATACCCACTACACACGCACACTACACACCCACACTACAGACACCCACTACACACACACACTACAGACACCCACAATACACACACACTATAGACACACACTACACACACACCACACTCACTACAGACACCCACACTACACAGACACCCACACGACACACACACCACACTCACTACAGACACCCACACTACACACACACACTACAGACACCCACACTACACACACACTACAGACACACACTACACACACCCACCACACACACTACAGACACCCACACTACACACCCACTACACACACACACTACACACACCCACCACACACACTACAGACACCACCACTACACACACTACAGACACACACACTACACACACACACTACACACACACCACACACACTCACTACACACACACTACACACCCACACTACATACACACCACACACACTACACACACCCACCACACACACTACAGACACCCCCACTACACACACACTACACACACTACACACACACTCACTACACACATACACTACACAGACACCCACACTACACACACACTACGCATACACACCACACACATACTGTACACTATACACACTTCAGACACACCCTACAGACACCCACACTCCACAACAACAACAACCATCATTCGCCACTAAGTGGCGGTAACGTCACCACGACGCTTGTGCCAGGCTAGGTGCACCTTGAGGCCACGTGAAGCGTCGAACGTCCGCGGGCAGAAGGTCACGGGGCAGACCCAGCAGGTGCCACGGGTCGACTGACAGACGAGTGGCAGATGCACCACCTGTGCCCCCTACTGAGCCAACTCGCTGTGTTTTAGCCGCCCGCGCTCCGCTCGTTGTTGTGAGCGTCGCTCCTCCACCCTCCGCTGTTGTTGGAGGGCGACTGCCTCGAACCGCCCTGAAGCAGCAACAGCGGCGTCCTTCACGAGCCTCCTCATCCTCCTCCTCCACAGAGGCCACCACAGCGGCCAAAAGGAGCTCTGGACGGGTGCGAGTGGCTGCTAACCCCTCCAATTTCAATAAATTACCACTAAACCACGAAATAAACCACACTACACACCCACGACAGACACCCACACTATACACAACACAACACTACACACAACACTACACACAACACTACACACGCACACTACACACAACACTACACACGCACACTACACACACACACTACACACAACACTACACACACAACACACGCACACTACGCTACACACTACACACGCACACTACACACAACACTACACACAACACTACACACACAACACTACACACACAACACACGCACACTACACACAACACTACACACAACACTACACACAACACTACACACAACACTACACACACACACTACACACGCACACTACACACAATACTACACACACACACTACACACAACACTACACACACAACACACGCACACTACACACAACACTACACACCCACACTACACACGCACACTACACACAACACTACACACAACACTACACACGCACACTACACACAACACTACACACACACACTACACACGCACACTACACACAACACTACACACGCACACTACACACAACACTACACACGCACACTACACACGCAGACACTGCAGCTCAGCACAGCGGACTAACTCACCCAAAACGAGTCTGAGAATCTGAGCTTCATGATTGACGCTCTCCCGTGGGCTGTCACAGATCGCCGCTGTCACGGCTCCTGCCTCTCTCTCCTCTCTCTCTCCTCTCTCTCTCCCCTCTCTCTCCTCTCTCTATCTACTCCCTCTCTTTACCCTCTCTCTCTCTCCTCTCTCTACTCTCTCTACCCCCTCTCTCTCCTCTCTCTATCTACTCCCTCTCTCTCTCCTCTCTCTCCCCTCTCTCTCTCCTCGTGTCGTCACCACCACTCCTCACAAGGAAGTTCAAGGTTCAGCAGCCTTCGGCCCCATTCATTTCATTCATTATTTATCATCAAATCGTGTTAAGTATTAGCGCGAACGTGTTCCGCATTATGCGGATTGCAAGACGCACGGGCCAGCTTTGGCGGCGAAGGGCGTGAGAGATTGGCAACATGACGATGTTGCAGCTACTTTCCGTGGATATTGGCACCACAAGGCAGAGGGAGGTGGAGATGCATCGCGAAATGTTGCAGTCGACACCTCCTGCTACGGACTATCTGCCCACGCACGCACGGATCGTGATGATGATACAAGTGTTATCTGCGGGAGCGTTTTGGCAGCATAAAAATAAAAGTCTCGTCCGTTTAGCTCCCCTGCCCTCCTCCGACGAAGTCTTATCGAAGGGAAATTTTTGGCCGTATCAAGATAAAAGTCTCGTCGGTTTAGCTCCACTGCACCTCCGATGAGCAGGGTTGGCAACGTGCGGTGCGAAAGAAGTTCTACATACATACTTCTTATAATCCTGTGTGTGTGTCTATGTGTGGGGAGCGGTGTACCATCGGTGCAGGCTGTAGGGGCAAGTGCTGTTAGCGAGCACCTATGAAGGCCGGCACGGCACACGCGCGGGGGTGGGTGGCCAGCACCACGCCCGGCCGCCTTTGTCTCCCCCAGTGGCGATGTTTACTACACACCGAACCAGGAACTCATTTGAGGCTGAGTCAACCTAGGGGAGGCCCAGGACCCCTTCAGGTAATCGTCACTGGTGGTGTTGGCCGTGAGCAGGGGATTAGAACTCGGGTGGCCGGGTTCGTAGCGCTAACCGCTGCACCACCGCTCCCCGTGTTCACTCTTTGGGTGATTTGGGAGTAACACAAAATAAAGAATTCGCTTTGATTGACGTCGCTTCGATAATCGTCGGCCGCCTCGCAGGAACGCATCCCGGACGTAAACCGGGGGGCTGCCGCACTGCAGTCCTGTTGAGTCACTGCTACCCTTGCGAACGACGTCACGGGGGTGGGGGGGGTTTGGGGGGTGGGGGGTGGTGGGGGGTTGGTGGGGGGGGGTTGGGGGGGGTTGGGGTGGGGGTTGGGGGGTTGGGGGGGTGGGGGAGTTGGTGGGGGGGGGTTGGTGGGGGGGGGTGATGTCGAGCGATGCTCTGGTGGGGTGAAGCGGCTATGGCCGTGTGAGTGGTTCTTGTTTCTCTCTCTCTGTCGTCGATGCAGCCCGCAGTCATCATAACCTGGCGGGCTGGTGGTGGTGTTGGTGGTGGTGGTGTTGGTGGTGTTGGTGGTGGTGGTGCTGGTGGTGTTGGTGGTGGTGGTGTTGGTGGTGGTGTTGGTGGTGTTGGTGGTGGTGTTGGTGGTGGTGTTGGTGGTGTTGGTGGTGTTGGTGGTGGTGTTGGTGGTGGTGTTGGTGGTGTTGGTGGTGGTGTTAGTGGTGTTGGTGGTGTTGGTGGTGGTGTTGGTGGTGGTGGTGTTGGTGGTGATGCTGGTGGTGTTGGTGGTGGTGTTGGTGGTGGTGGTGGTGGTGGTGGTGTTGGTGGTGTTGGTGGTGGTGTTGGCGGTGGTGTTGGTGGTGTTGGTGGTGGTGTTGGTGGTGGTGTTGGTGGTGTTGGTGGTGGTGTTGGTGGTGTTGGTGGTGGTGTTGGTGGTGTTGGTGGTGGTGTTGGTGGTGGTGTTGGTGGTGTTGGTGGTGGTGTTGGTGGTGTTGGTGGTGGTGTTGGTGGTGGTGTTGGTGGTGTTGGTGGTGGTGTTAGTGGTGTTGGTGGTGGTGTTGGTGGTGGTGTTGGTGGTGTTGGTGGTGGTGTTAGTGGTGTTGGTGGTGTTGGTGGTGGTGTTGGTGGTGGTGGTGTTGGTGGTGATGCTGGTGGTATTGGTGGTGGTGTTGGTGGTGGTGCTGGTGGTGGTGGTGTTGGTGGTGTTGGTGGTGGTGTTGGCGGTGGTGTTGGTGGTGTTGGTGGTGGTGTTGGTGGTGGTGTTGGTGGTGTTGGTGGTGTTGGTGGTGGTGTTGGTGGTGTTGGTGGTGGTGTTGGTGGTGGTGTTGGTGGTGTTGGTGGTGGTGTTGGTGGTGTTGGTGGTGGTGTTGGTGGTGGTGTTGGTGGTGTTGGTGGTGGTGTTAGTGGTGTTGGTGGTGTTGGTGGTGGTGTTGGTGGTGGTGGCGTTGGTGGTGATGCTGGTGGTGTTGGTGGTGGTGTTGGTGGTGGTGCTGGTGGTGGTGGTGTTGGTGGTGTTGGTGGTGGTGGTGCTGGTGGTGGTGTTGGTGGTGGTGATGGTGGTGGTGGTGGTGCTGGTGGTGTTGGTGGTGGTGTTGGTGGTGCTGGTGGTGGTGGTGCTGGTGGTGTTGGTGGTGGTGGTGTTGGTGGTGTTGGTGGTGGTGATGGTGGTGGTGTTGGTGGTGCTGGTGGTGGTGATGGTGGTGGTGCTGGTGGTGTTGGTGGTGCTGTTTGTGGAGGTTCTGGTGTTGGTGGTGGTGGTGGTGCTGGTGGTGTTGGTGGTGCTGTTTGTGGAGGTTCTGGTGTTGGTGGTGGTGGTGTTGGTGGTGGTGTTGGTGGTGCTGGTGGTGGTGGTGGTGTTTATGGAGGTTCTGGTGATGGTGGTGGTGTGTGTGGAACGGTGGTGCAGCGGTCAGCGTGCTGCGCTATGAACCCGGCCCACGGGGTTCGATTCCCGCTCACGGTGGCGATTTTCTGAACAGGGTTCAGGGGCCCTCCCCCCCTAGGTCGACTCAGCCTCAAATGAGTACCTGGTGCGGTGTGTAAACATCGCCACTGGGGAGACAAAGGCGGCCGGGCGTGGTGCTGGCCACCCACCCCCTTGAGTGCCGTGCCGACCTTTCAGGTGCACTTGCCCCTACAGTCTGTTACAGGCTACACGGGGATCTTTGTCTTTGTGGAGCGTGACCTCCACGTGCGCGTGCACCAGCAGAGAGGGCAGCGGAGGGGGCAGCGGAGGGGGCAGCGGAGGGGGCAGCGGAGGGGGCAGCGGAGGGGGCAGCGGAGGGGGCAGCGGAGGGGGCAGCAGGGGGGGGGAAGTCCGGCTCGGAGTCCCGAGGAGTTCCTGGGCAAGGCAGGAAGTGTGCGAGCCCCACACACCACAAACACTCACTACTCACACTCACCACTCACACTCACTACTCACACACACCACTCACACTCACTACTCACACTGACCACTCACACTCACCACTCACACTCTCTACACACACTCACTACACACACTCACACCACACACTCACTACACACACTCACCACTCACACACACCACTCACACTCACTACTCACCACTCACACTCACACTCACCACTCACACTCACCACACACACTCACCACTCACACTCTCTACACACACTCACTACACACACTCACACCACACACTCACTACACACACTCACTACTCACACACACCACTCACACACACCACTCACACTCACCACACACACTCACTACACACACTCACACCACACACTCACTACACACACTCACCACACACACCACTCACACTCACCACACACACTCACTACACACACTCACCACACACACTCACTACACACACTCACTACACACACTCACCTCTCACACTCACCACACACACTCACTACACACACGCACCACTCACACTCACTACTCACACTCACCACTCACACTCTCTACACACACTCACTACACACACTCACACCACATACTCACTACACACACTCACTACTCACACACACCACTCACACACACCACTCACACTCACCACACACACTCACTACACACACTCACACCACACACTCACTACACACACTCACCACACACACCACTCACACTCACCACACACACTCACTACACACACTCACCACACACACTCACTACACACACTCACTACACACACTCACCACTCACACTCACCACACACACTCACTACACACACTTACCACTCACACTCACTACTCACACTCACCACACACACTCACTACACACACTCACCACTCACACTCACCACACACACTCACTACACACACTCACCACTCACTACTCACACTCACCACACACACTCACTACACACACTCACCACTCACACTCACCACACACACTCACTACACACACTCACCACTCACACTCACCACACACACTCACTACACACACTCACTACACACACTCACCACTCACACTCACCACACACACTCACCACTCACACTCACCACACACACTCACTACACACACTCACCACACACACTCACTACACACACTCACCACTCACACTCACTACTCACACTCACCACACACACTCACTACACACACTCACTACTCACACACTCACTACACACACTCACCACTCACACTCACCACTCACACTCACCACTCAAACTCACCACTCACACTCACCACTCACACTCACTACACACACTACACACACTCACCACTCACACTCACCACACACACTCACTACACACACTCACCACTCACACTCACTACACACACTCACTACACACACTACACACACTCACCACTCACACTCACCACACACACTCACTACACACACTCACCACACACACTCACTACACACACTCACCACTCACACTCACCACACACACTCACTACACACACTCACTACTCACACTCACCACTCACACTCACCACACACACTCACTACACACACTCACTACTCACACACTCACTACACACACTCACCACTCACACTCACCACTCACACTCACCACTCACACTCACCACTCAAACTCACCACTCACACTCACCACTCACACTCACTACACACACTCACCACACACACTCACTACACACACTCACTACTCACACTCACCACTCACATTCACACCATACTCACCACTCACACTCACCACACACACTCACTACACACACTCACCACACACACTCACTACACACACTCACCACTC